GATTGTAAAATTATCAGCAGATTCAAAGACCACACCCAAAAAATTAAAATTATAACTAAAATTAAACGAGGAAAATCCGAATATATCAGTGAATGGTATCTAAAAATTTATTTTCTATATTGTATTAATAAAAATAATATTATTTTAAATTCAACATGAAATTCATTTCAATGAAAAAAAAACTTTCTAAAGGGATGTACCTAAAAATAATTTTTAAGAACATCAAATTTTAGTTAAAAGCTATAAATATTTCCAATTACTGTTATCTGTCGTATATATCCTGTTAATTATTATCAGTAGCTAAATGTTACCTTCACTTTCCCATATTCATTATCAGATCCATATAAGTGTAGTATTACGTAAAATTATTTTAGTATTTTTATAAATATAAAAAATAAAATTGTACTCGTAACAAAATCACCGTGCACAAACTGCAATTTTGCTTTATTATTTAAATATGTRCACATGTTTTAAAATKTAAATAACTTTTATTTTCAATTTAATTTGATGTAAACAGTCTACTGCTTGCCGAGTGGAATACAAATCTCCTATTTTTGTAAAGGTTTATTTCTTATTTGTAAAAATTCGAGTCATACAAAATCCAATTACAAATAATTCGTACAAGGTAGGTGACTTAAAATAACATACAATCATGTCGCTCACAAAGGCAAACGATTTTAATTGACAGTCATAAATAAAAACCTAATTTTGCAAAATTACTAGCTGTGTCTGCTCTAGTAGTAGAGAAAGGTGATAATTAAGGTTTCGGCGAGAACGATACTTAAACTCTTGTTCATTTATCTGTTAAACGGTCGTGTAATTAATCATACGTTAAGTTTAATTAAAATAAAAGCCCGTGCAATTTTGAAACAAAGACGATGACATTCATTTGCGATTTAAAGACAAGAAGATCGCGGTCAGCGTACTTTTTCTCTGGTTCAGTACCGTCGACCGTCTCGCTTCGTGGCTTCTTTTGATATCTGAGCTGMGACAGTCAGTGTTTCTTGTATCCCGCATTCCGACGTCACGAAAATCATAATTTCGTAAAATCGATTATATCGGAGAATTGACGGGAAACCCATCACAGGCCATCAATCGTTAGTTAATTGGGTTATCTTCGAGTTTCCTGAAATGACATTCCTCCCGTCGATACTTTCACAGCAAACTTAATTATCTCGACAATGAATAAGAGCATTATTTCAACGAAAGGAATGCGAATGGTAGCCGGTCGATGTGTCCTCACCTTGCCCCCAGCGAAGGAAATGGGTACGGAGTTACGAACTCGTCCAGGCAACTTTATACGGATATTATTAGGCAGAAAACTGTTATAATTACGGCTAGGAATTCGACAGAATCCTCAAACAAAAAGCAATAGAACAATAAGGCGGCCCGTGCGAGCATTTAAATCTCCGAGTCCGTCCATGTGTGAAGCAACTTCCTCCAATCCTCTTTTTATGCGAGCGTCCTGATATGGTCCCGTTTATTCCACGCTTCTACATTCCGTCACAGTGGCTGGTCTTTTCCGGTTTCACCCCCGATACGAACCCTCGTGGGAGAATATCAGTTCCGTTCTACATTTCCTCTTCCACTGCGGAAATCTATTGAAATTGTTATTATATTGTCCGCGGCTAGTTCGTGGAAATCCTTCCCCATACTAATTACGACTTTTAAAAAAACCACACAGTGGTCGGTAATTTGTCATGTTTACTCAACTTGTCAAAAAGTGGATTAATCGCCTGAATCACCAAATGGAAGTTTTTCTACCTCCAGCAAAAAATTTTCAGATTCGATTCTCAAAGATATGCAAATTATTTAAATGCATTTAACGTTGAAATATGGGATAGGTTCTTGGCATATTTCCCTGAATTGTTTTCGCGCAAATTTCGAGAAACCGAGGTGAGACATTCCATAAATGTTAATCACGGTAATTATCATTGAGTTGCCTCTAATTCGACTCAAAATGTTGAAAGCTTAAGCGCTACTGAAACTGAAATTCACCACAAGAAACTTTCTTCTGTGAATCAACAGGTGCCTTGATCAGTATTTGTGTGATTAAAGTTCTCGGGAGAGATAAAAAACTATATTGATTCTCGTGTGTGGTTTCTCGTTTTATGGAAACATTGTGATAACAACTTCCTTGAAAGTATTATACATCTGAAGAAATACAAAAATAGAATCATTATCCATAASGTCATACAAAAACCGGACCGATCGTCAAAGTACAAAGCTATCGATGATGTGCTTTTTCTAAATTTTTGATTTCGCGCTTAGATGAACAAATAAATTTTATATGAATCACAATTGCAATTATTTTCGGAACGAGGAAAAACCAAACCATAAATTTGGTGCAATGTAGATAAAATATGAGAAAGAAACACTTCAGTTGGTACTTGTGATAAAATCTGACCTAGATCCTGAAAGTCGGAAGATTCAAAAATTTAATTGTTATTCCTAAATGCTCAATGGTGCGTGTGGTTTTGTCGCTCTCATTGCATGTTAATTAAATTAAAATTGTACCCAAAATGCATATTACGAGTATCGGAAATTACAATTTATATTATACCTTAAAACTATATACAATATATTTTCAAACCCCACCTTCAAAGACATTGAATAATGAAATAAACAACAATAAGTAAAATAAATAATGTATGATATTAACAGTAAATATGTATTAAAATTAAAACTTAGTCCTTGTGAATTATGCAAGTTCCTGTTAACTCTAGAGTTAATATCGATTTTCAAAAAATTATTTTGAAAAAATACTAAAAGTTTGCAAATAAAATGTTTAACTGTTGGCATTGAGATAATCACAATAATAATTAAACAACAATAGAATAAAACCAACAGTAAAAGTTTAATTAAAATCTGAACCTTGAACGGCCGCCAGTACTAAATTTTGAAGTCCGGATAATACAATCAGGACCGCCAATCAAGACAAGATTTAATCTTTAATAACTACAAAAATGAGGATTTTTTATAATCTTAATAGATTGTTAAAACAGGATCTGTTGTTGGTAATAATATTTGACAATTATTTTATAAATAATGCCTATATAACTATTGAAATTTGAAAAATCAAAACTTATTTCTTTCCTTAGCTTTAAAAAATAATTAACAAAAGTAGCAGGTATGTAAGCGTGAAAAATCATAATTTATGTAAGCCCCATAATAAATTATAATTAGATGTTTTGGTAAGTTCCCCTTTTATGCAAATTAGAAGTCAGAATGAAAATTATATATCAACGATCTCATTAATAAATTTATTACCCAAAACTTTGTCGTTGGAGAATTGCTAAAAATCGTGGTCTGAAGAATTTTTATAACAAAATATGGACCGGTAAATTTCCGCTTGTATTTTTTTTATTTACAATAATAGCCAAATACGTATGATTTTATGTCCCTATCTTATTGATTTCTATAGTAATATTTGTAAAATATAAAATTGGAATCTTATCTTTTTATGTTTAATGTTTACGGTCGAACTAAACTTTTATAGTTTCCTACAATTATAAAAGAAAAACTTTGGTCAGCTTGAAGATAAGGAATGGTAGAATTATAATAATTTTATCAACTAGATATGTTCAACTATCAATGTAAATATTAACTTGGTAGATTTTTAATAATTGAACATTGTATATTTCTTATCAGTAAATAAATGTTTAAAAAAAATTAACAAGTGCATAAAATATTCCTTTTTTGTAACTAACTGGTACTAACCACTAAACCACTTCATCCTTCTTAAAACCTCTAACAAAAATGTTTAATTCATGAGATACCATTACAGAAAATGTCTGTACTTTGTCCATTTACACAAATTATCCCGTATTTGTACATTTTATTTTATGTCCCTCCATTTATAGGTAGTTCTCTCAGCCCCCAATTATGATAATTTCCCCTCGATGTAAGATAATGATCAAGACGTTAACACCTTAATGAGATTGCATGTTGTCCCTATACACAGTTTCAAATAATTATAAACAGGACAAGTTTTTGTGACAATCCGTAAAGGAAATTTCATCGTAACCGATTTTATGGCTTGGAAATACCTCAGCATTTATAATTCAATTATTACGTTAACCAAATGTCAAGAATTCGTTCTCAGTACTCGATTTGTCATTACAAATTAGCGAAAAGTTAAGCGAAAGTTACAGACATTTTCCAGTCGATGATGCAAAAGTTAGATCASTCACCACCATTGTAACATTTACATCAAATTCTGAAATAGTGAGATCTGGACAGTATGTGGAAGATTGACATTTGGGCGGATCCACATGCATGTAAACGTCCGGTCTACACCACAAAAGATTAGACTGGTCCAGATTTATTTTCTTTACACTTGTTTGCAGGAAATCGTGTAACAGGATCTGATACAATGACGCATTTTTGGTTTTGTTCCAGCCTTGATCTTCTAAATTAAAACTATTATTGTGCGAAATTAAAAACTTGGGATAATCTGGATGATGGTGGCACAAGGATACGCTATAAAGTAATTTGAATAGGATGAAACTTGGATGACTCATGAACATTTACAATGCAAAATTCTTCACGTTATCTCGTAGTCTACAAGGTTTAATGTTGCTAATAACCGAGAATTAATCTAAACGAAAGTGATTCATTACGTTACTACTGGAGTAAAATTGATTTCATTTGTGTGCCTTTTTGCAACTTGGTGTGAAGACCACCAACGATTAAAAAATTGAMTTTAAAGGCCCATCAATGATGAAATACCGGTTGTTGTTTATTAAACAAATAGTCCCGGATTCGAAAAATGACAATAGTTTGAATGGACAAGCTGGTAATACAGCCATAAACATTTGATGCACGGAGGAATAATAAAAGGATATTTTATCACCACGACATATCTGACATATCAGCACTGTTGCACTCAAAATATTTGCATGCACATCAAATGTCGTCATCCTATACATTGACCAGTTTTTAAACTGAGCTTTAAGATCCATGTCAGCAAAAAATAATCTAAGGGTTAAATTTCTCACCTTGGTAATCCCCTTTCAGTCAATGGTAATCCCAACAATCAGCAACAGAAAAAAGTTCACGAAAACACGCACTTAAAAACGTGTGCAGCACATGGAGCTGCGTCGAAGTGTTCCAACAACACGTCCTCCCAACAGCAACGTTGAAACGCGACTGATAGCTGGAGTTGCGAGCTTTAACCTATGGTTTACCCGCGTGACTGCCTCGGCTGTCCCAAAGACACCATAAAATGCATTTCTATCAGATTATGGATGATAGTGGGATGCAAGCAGGTTCATTGTAGTGTTATTGTTTAGAGGTTTTTTCATATTCTCACACTTTCCTTCTGATACATAGGGTGGGTGATGGGTGTTAGGAGAGAAATTCCGTTGTTTCTTGATGGTGTACTTGAGATGGGGCAAGGTATATGAGATTTTTTTAGGTGATATGCTAGCGGAACAAATTTCGTTACTGTGTAAAGGTAAATAAACTATTTTCATAACAATGGCTGGTATGCTGAAGGTAAATAAATTGGCTACTTATCGATTTTTACTTCAGAAGCTGAGGAATTTGATAAGAATTATTTGAACCATAAATTTAAATTTTGACTAATATTTAAAAAAATAAGTGATTTTTTTGTCGCTAATATTTATTTCAACATTTATTTATTATTAGGTACTTACCTCTTTATTTTATGATAAAAAATAAATATGTATTTAAATTAAAATTAAATATTCAATTAGATTATTAATTATTAACATTTATAGTCTCGGTCAATTTACACAAGAGGATATTGTGTCGTACAACTATTAGGTATGTTTATTACGTATAATGAGTTTTAAGGACTAATTTATTTTACGCAAAATTTATGAAACATCCGTTTCACTGAAATTCATATATCTATACAGCCATCATGCTAATAATTTATCAGTATTTTTCTTTATTTTAATAGGTACACGAGGAATAATGAGCCTGACCAAATTCTCGATACAACCACCATTACTACTGTCGCAAAGCAACTTGCGAAAAGTAATGGTGGTTGTATCGAGAATTTGGTCAGGCTCATTATTCCTCGTGAATCACCCTGTATGTACTCAGTTTACACCGCACCGTTTAGTTTTAAATTATGTATTTAATAATAATTATTCTCTTCAAACACAATGACAGTTTTGAAAACACATAATGAGTTTTTCCTCGGTTTTTCCCATCTTTTGATGACTTCGTTTTGCTGGTGATGATATTTCTTTCAAAAATTCAACTTAATCAATTTTTTTTAGTCTTTTACTGTATTAGATCTAAAATACTATTTTTTATGGTGAGAATATAGTTTACCTATAGCACTTATTTTCGTACAAATACGAGTACTAAAAAACTTAGTTCATTTTACTCAAAAGCTGTTCACTTCATATAGCTAGATTACCTATTAGTTTTTGAAAAATTAATTTATTAAATTCTGAACTTAAAAATTTCATGTTTAAGTATTTTTAGAAAACAAAACATGTCGATGTGGGTTCAATTACAAAAGAATTTTTTCAACATAATAAAATAAACAAAAAAATTCAAAAAATCTAGCAATTTAGAAAAAATCCAAAAGTGATTGTGTTATGACCTTAACTTCATTTTTAGGAGTCAACTTTTATTGTATTGTAAAGAAAGTAGGTAATCTCATTAATTTCAAATATGGTTAGATAATTCATAGTAGTAAAATTGTGTATCTATTTTTGGTTTTTATTGTTTTGTTTTCTTTGCAATTATTMTTTTWACAACATTTCCACATAAAGTAAATAAATGCACAGAGCTTCTGGTTAAGGCTACAAATTAAGTGCTTCTTTAATACACATCCATAAACATGAAAAACTTTCCATTTTCAGCGACCAAACACATGTTAACTAGCTGGTGCAACTGAAAACAATTAAATAACTATTAATCCTTCACATCTTGACATTGCATCATTTATATTAACTAATTCTAACAAAAAACGGTGTGAAATTTCGTTATCATACATTAACCAATTTCATAAATTTGACCTTTTTAAGAAAAATATTACTAAAACAGAAGAGAATAAAAAATAAAAGAGAATAAAACAACTACTTATACCATGTGTACACCTAGATTTGCTTTTTTGATTCTTGATTCTGAACACTACCATATTGATTTATAAATGGTATAATGGTGCTAACAACCCAGTTACCATCAACCGCAACTTCTGTGCCAATTTTCGTAACAATAAAATGGTGAAAATCGATTTTTTCTTCCCACAAAATTAATTCAAATATATACTATTATACTATAATTCCCCATTCAATAAAACGGATAGAAAGTCAGAAAATGTACTGAGAAATGAACCAATAAGTAATGAATGCATTGTCTCGGTTTAAAATGATCAAAAGTTATGTGAAATTATAAGAAGGAAGTGGATACATTGATTTATTAAAATTACCAGTACACCTAATTACAACGTGAATAAGTTTGTAAACTGCTCATACATCCCGTCATATTAACTTACTTCTGTTTCCGACTAACATCCTCATGCGTACGGTTTCAAAACAGACAAATTGAAGGCAAAATTAATTTGAAAAGATAAGTCTGATAAGCAAACCTTGAGTGCCATGCATAATTCAGGAAGCGGATACAGTTAAGGTAACATTGTTTCCATAAAATGCGGGATATCGCTGCCAAAGACTCATTTGACAGAGGGTTGGAATAATTAGGCACACAAAAGAAGCGTTCACACATAATTATGTAAACAAAACTGTCGTTGTCGCTAATAGTTTATAGGTACTTGTGTTGAAAATCATTTCACACATGCAGGTTCCCACACTATGCAAAATAAATGCAACAAGTAACCGGGCGTTACTTAATAAGACTTTAATTGATCAAGTCGATTTTTAAAAGAAAATTAATATCGGATTGTTTCCGCCCATCGGGGCACGATTATCGCGATAATTGGTAGAAAGTCTTTCGAAAGAAATAACCAGAGCATGTGTTAGCAATATGTCTTTGCGTCACTAAGCAAAAAAAGTGCTGCTGTCCTTAGTTTCTTTCTAACAATACGAGACGTTTYATGACGTGATGAAGCGAAAAATGCTGCTTATGAATTATTGTAGTCTCTGTTCCCTGAGCAATCGTAACACAAAACTAATTTGCTCGAAAGAAGCCGATTAGGATGATGGGTTGGACCATCAGGGGTTACCTTTCTAGACTAAMCAACAARGCGAAGCCGCTTTTTGGCACATGTTAATGACTTGAACATGCTTTTAATCAGTTTTCAGGCAAAATGCGGCTGTTTGGAAAACAGATGGAGTGGTGTTTGTTTACATGAAAGGTTTGTTGCTTGAGGTGAAGATRATGGTGTAAATGTTATATTTAGCAAGATGGGCGGCTCATTATTTCATAATAAACTGTGAAATTATAAACATTTAAATTTATAACAAGTTCTGGTTCTTGCAGGGCCATTGAAATCGGAGAAGTTCAATGTCAAATTTATCAACAGTTTTCTTACATTTTCTAACCTTGTAACAATTTCCTTTAATTTTAGACAAAATCAGTTTCATAATAAGTACAGAAAAAAAAACAGATCCTGTTTCCACAACTTGAAATGTGTTCAACTATTCAAAAAATAACTTTTGAAGCAAATGTTTTGCCAAAAAATTAGCACGAGRCATCTGTTTCAGACTAAATAGCTTTTTTGAATAACAAACAAACCGATTTTCGACAAGCATTATAAACATTCCGGATAATTAAATGTACCTGATTAAAGTTTATACACATTAAAATAAACTTATAAAAGTCCCCATTCGTTCGTGGTGAGCGTAGGGCAGGGGGGCACCAAGAAGGTGGCCGTCTTATGCTTTTTTGCTTATATCCACGAAACCATGGGTGTTAAGAAAAAATGGTTATGTACAAAATTAAAGTTTATAAAATTTTCTACAAGATGGTCTTCTGGGGCTTTTTGTTTTTGTATCTCTAATTATGTAGTTTTCTAGATATTTGCCAACAAACATCGCCTTTTCTAAAAAAAACTATTAATGAATTAATGAAATAAATATCGTAAAAATTGTAAATATTGATTGGACGGTTTAAGGTCGGCCATTATAAAAATGCAAAAAACCAATCATTTTAGATTTCTGGATCCATTCAAAAATTTAACGCAGTGATGTGATTGGTCCGTTTAAGGTCGGCCATTATAATAACGTGAGAAGCCAATCGCTTTAGTCATTAGGTTAATTGAAAAATGTATCGAAATTGATTAATTCAGATTTGCATTCATTCCCAAAGATGATTCGAATTTTTAATAAAAATGTTACGTGTGTGCTCTTTAGAACTTGGACCTTGCGTTTCGTTGTAGCTACGCTCGGTTGAAAAAAAAAGAAATTTTAAAAATTAGTGTTATTCATCCTGTGTGCTTATAAGCACATCATAAATTGACGACGAGCAGGATACAGAAATGAAAATTTTCTTCAAATTTGAACATTTTAATTCGGTGCAACATCGGGCAAGAAGTGAAAATAGTGAAATATAACCTCATTTTCTTCTTGTCTTGGGCCCACATCCACGGAGGTATGTAGGTACAACGAAAAGATTGTTTTCTACAAGCTGCAGTACAAATCACTATCTACAACTAACAAACTCAGAATCACTTTTGTCGTAAACTCAAAATTTAGGTACCATGAGACAAAAAAAAATGTTTTTTTTTAGGGRTGCTTTGCTATATTTGCTAGCGGATATCTTGAAAACTATTGAAGTTACAAAAAAACGAAAAGAAAATTGGAAATTGAATAAGCWTTAATTTTGTACATAACCATTTTTTTCATAATACGCACCATTTTCAAGTTATAAGCGAYAAATTATAAAACGGCATCTTTTTGGTCTGGGTCCTTCCCTTCGTTTCCCTCAGATCAAAGATTTGGAGACTTTTAGTATGTTTACTTTCTAACTAGTCCAAACACAGCCTTAAAGTCAAAATTCTGTTCCCAACCCTTTTTGAGCGTTCATTAATTCGACCATGCTGTGCTTGAAGAAAATTTAAATGCCTATTCTTAATGAAAATGGTTTAATTAACTTAATTCAGACCAATTAGAAAATAACTACAGTTTTTTTATTTATATTTAAGCTTCCAAATGACTCCGCCTTTGATCCCACCGCTCCAAATAAAAATCATTAATTTAGCAATYCACTTCTCACTCGTCTCAGATAACTACCACAGGATGTGGACGCAACATATTCAAATATGCGACTTGTCTGCGGGTATTATATATTTGTGTTTCTTCTACCTGCATAGCCATAAACGATTTTTGGTTTTAGGACCTTTTTAAGAAACAGATTTAACTCACCTTTGTGAACTTTGAAGGTAATTTAAATTTTGTTTTCATTTATGAATTTTTTACTTACCGTAGTACCGTTGATTAAAAAATACTTTCTCTTTTTTTCAGTCTCCCGGCTAAAATATCTATCTATATCTATAAATCTGTTTGTAATTTGTAAATTCGGTTTTCAATAGTTCGTTATGAAATTGAAAACAAATGGTTTATTTCCAGCACGTTTATATTTCATAATCGTGATTATTTCCACTACATTCCATCGTTGTGTTTGCACTGTTTTAGTTTCCTGATAAAATCCATAATTGAAATTTAACCACAATCTGTTGTTAAATCTTTGTATTTGTTTATTTTAACTTTTACCTGACTTTTATCTTGCACAAGAGAGGCTTTATAAAAGTTTAGTTAATCTATTTTGCTATTTGTCGTTCTGATAGCTTGGCCAACAAATAAATTAAAGAACTCATTGTTATAGAAGGCACATTATGGGCGTTTGCCTCCAAACTTGCTCCGTTTGTTGTATTTACACGGTCCTAACTCATGTTGGGGAGATACGACCGTTAAAAAACCCGACACCTTTGCCGTAACAAATTTTGAAGTGGATCACTTTTAGAGTAATTTTTTTTTCAGAATAATCTTACAATCAGTTCATTAGTATTCATTAGCTGGGTAAACTAAAATAAACACAAAAAAAATATTATTTTTTAATTTATAGTCAGGAATATAAATTCGCTAAGCTTATAGCTTATTTTTGATTTAAAACTATTTGTTTAAATAGTTGAGCCAATCGAGACAAAGGCAATCCGATAACGTTATTTCCATCACCTTCGATCCGGTCGACGAAAGTGCTTGCAATACCTTGAATGCCATACCCACCAGCTTTACCCCTGAAAATCAATACGCTATATCCCACACAATACACTCTTGTACGCTTGGTCGTATAAATAATTAATACAAAGAAAATCGAACCCAGTTTAATGATTTCCTTTTTTTGATTACTCTTACATAGGTTCGCCTGTCTCCACATACGCTAAAATTTCCTCAGGAGACAATTTTGCCATATAAACGGTCGTAACTTCAGTAAATTTATGAAAATCGCTTTTGTACTTCACAACTATTCCAGTATAGACTAAATTTGGTATATTTGGCGAGTGTGTTAATCTAAAATTTAATTTTTAGCTATTTTGAATTGTTTTCACTTGTGGTATCACTCTGTGATTGTTTTTATGGCTTGTTCTTTAGTCTTGGGTTTCCCATACATGCGTCCATTGAAGGTGACCATGGTGTCAGCTCCTATAATAATATCAGGTTTTCTTTCGTCACTTTTCAGCCGTTCCCAMACATCATTGACTTTTCCTAAAGCTGTTTTTTCAACAAAGTCGGAAAAAGTGTGCTCTTTTGGATCTAAATTTTCCTCAAAATTAGATGGCACTATTTCGAATTTGAGTTTCTGGAAAACAAAATTGACATAATGTGTTTCTCCAAATTATATGAGATAAAGGTATAATTTSATAAAAATATAGAGATAGTACAGGAGGCGCCATCTTACCGTGCTTTTCAACAAAGCAGCACGTTGTTCAGAACCACTGGCCAAAATAACCCGTAAATCGTTGAGTTTACTGACTAACGGTTCCAACATTTTTAATAAATGCAGCGATTGTTTGAATTACTTTTATAGCAACTTCGATACACTAATAACCACTCTTTGATTCACGAAGATATTACGTAATTCTAATCTTTAGCATTCACAACCAACGTGCTGATTGAATTTGATGGTAACGAAGTGATCTGCAACGGTTTGTTTGAAATAGGTATATTCTAAAATATCAAACAGCTTGCTGTATGCTGCCATTGCCTTGATTCCAGAAAGTTTGTACTTGTGCTATACTATTTTTATTTTTTGATAAGATTAGCAAAGCTATTTGACATAAATAACCTTACTAGTCCTAATTACTGTAGTTGCAATGCGCATACCAATTTTAAATTTGAAGATCCTGAGTTGTTTTGTTTTTATTTTCATTGCAACTAGTTCAAATAGATCGCCTAAAATCTGTCGCAAATCGATTAATACGAATTGTCCTAAATTAGGTTTGATGATTTGGTTTTGATTTTTCTGAGAAAAAGAATAATCCAAGCTTATTATTTTATTATGAATTTTGTAGTGACTCCCTTTATTAGAATCGTGTTTCTCGCATTGAAAAAGCTGTAACCTCAGGGATCGAGGTAAAGTCTGAATCATCGTCGTAGCCTCTGCATGTTAACATTTATTATTACTTGTTCTCTTATTGATTCTTGACCTTTTGATTTTATCGCAGAGTGACAAATACTGCACAAGTTTCAATAAGAGAGGAGATTCATCGAGTGAAATAAATAGTAATGTAGTAACAGGAATATTTAAGTGAAAAACAGTGTAGGAGAATATACTGGATTTTTTACAGTTAATTACGAAGTGACCTAGTGACCATTCCGTGGCAGTAGAAAAATGTTGCCGCTTTGCTGTATAAGGACTCTGTAGAGCTTGAAAACAAAAATGATTTCACTTGAAAAATGTTCATTGTTTATCACCACGATAATTTATTGACTTCAAGGGAGGCGCGAAAAGTAGGAATTATTTAATCGTGAAGTGTTATTATTTTTATGAAGATATAAAGATTTTTGTGGGTTGGACAGGTAATTATTTACTTTGATTATCAATTGTGATAATGGTTTGTTTTCCGATTTTTTCTATTTAATAATTAATAATTTTTTGAATTTGTGTAGCGAAGTGTAAGTACGTACTTGTCGGATTTAATAAAATGCGTTTCATCACAACATTTATTAAAACACTTTTTTGTCTAATATTCTTTCTACATTTTATATATAAATCTCATTTACATTTTATAATATAATAATAATAATAATAACAAAGTAATAATATGGAACGTAATAATTTGAATTATTAATGTTATTATTGATTAGCTTAAGCAGACGTCGTTTCTACCATCGACTTCTTAATAATCTCTCCGAAATTGTCGTTACAGTCATCTGAATTGGTATTGCCATTGGTCGTGTTTTCGCACTTTTGGCCCCTCTCGGGATTATTACTGGCGGGAACATCAGACGGATTCAAACAGTTAAAATTGTTCGTGTCTTCGTATCCTGGATAATTGTACCGTCCGTGGAGTAAATCCGAGAAAGATTCGATTTTATTGTTGGCCCCGACCGGATTTAAGCTAGTGTATTGGTTCTCCTTGGCGTCGGAGGAAAAATTGTCGTTAGCGAACTGCTCGTAGCCGTTCGCATTTTGCTGAAAATTTCCTTCCAGGGGTTTCGCTCCAAACTCCGGGCTGTAAATTCCCCCTCCGTACGGATTGAAGACGGGGGTGAAGTCGGCGAAGTTGGACTGGTACGGCTGCGTGTATTGATTGGATGGCGGAGGGTAAGGGGAAGCACTGGCTGGGAAACCGACATCAGAAAACCGAGGGTCGGGGAAATGGAACCCTTGCGACGAAGGGGGGAAGGGCTGGTGGGGGTGCTGCTGTTTATTTCTTTCGGCCACGGGACCGTCCCGAGTTGCGTCATCACCATACCAATCTTCCCTAAACGTGTACAAATCTAGGGAATCCTCGCGCGCAGGCAGGTCGCTGAAGCCCGGAGGGTTGTGGGGCAGGCCGGGACCCTCCCCTGGGGCCCCGTAATGCAGGTTGGTGAAGCTGCCGTCGTGCACACAATTCTCCACGTCACGATTGTCTCTCAACAAGTTGCCGTTGCTGTACTTGGTGCCATTTTTCGATTGAGCGGTATCTTGTTTCGGGTAGCCTACGTTCAGCCTTTCGTTTTCCATCCAGTTGGTGTCTTTCTTCTCCGCTTTCATTTCTTCCTCCTTCTCTTGTTTTTTCTCGAGTTCAAGACGCATTAGGGTGTGGATGAAGTGTGTGCGGACCCTGACGGGGTTGAATTCGATTCGGCCGCTGGAATTTCCGCAGCTATCTCGAGAACAGCCACAAGGAAAGTTTAAACGGTCAACTTGGCATTTTATGCCAGCCTGACTGCACGAACAAGTATCTGGATCACAGTATCCTTTACAGCCACAACCACAGAATTCTCGCGAAGTCCTAATATCACGGCACTCGTCTTTTTCGAGAGAGTCTATTTTTCGAACACCGGATGCCCGCAACAGGGCTCGTCTTTGTCTTATAGACACGGGTTGCAAAAAATAATAATTGTCCAAATCCATTTCCGACTCGGATGCATCACTGGGTTCCTCCTCGCTGTCACTCTCATCACTCGAAGACGCCCCTCCGTTACTCCCAGTCGAATGTCTCTCAGATCTTAGTTGTTGCAAAAGTTGTCGATGTATTCTACGTTGTTCGTTGGCGTGTTCTCCTATCGTAAATTTCCTTACGTACGAATGTTGGGCTCCCATGCCCAAAGTGGAACCTCCTTGCGAAGGGATGCAAGTAAAACCTTGCGCTCGAGGAAAATAAAATACTGTCACACTATCGAACGAAATTCCTCGTTTTTTCTTACATTTCGGCTGCCCTTCTTCTTCCTCCTCCTCCTCCTCCTCCTCCTCCCTTGGCAGCTTTCGTTTGAGACTACTCTTCAAAGCTGCTTTTTTAGGTTGGGCACTATCGAGGATATCCCGAATCTCTTCGATAGTGTTATTACCTTGTTTGGCGTCATCGTCTTTTGCGACATGATCTAAACTCGTGGAGGGTAAAGTAAAGTCTTGTTCCTTCTGGTTGAAGTCTTCGAAATTAGGAGCTGCACTTTGTGTGCCGTTAAGTCTGTCTAAGAAGGAGGTTTCGCTGTCGCTTTCTCCTAAATTAACAGCCGTGGCCATAGTTTCAGGTCTTTCTTCGTTCAGCTCCGACCCTAGGCCCGAATCGGATCCATCGGATCGATCGTGGGGTTCTTCCGTCAGTTCTTCAGTCGGGGGCAGACTTTCCGTCGCGGAGTCTTCCCCGTCGTTAACAGTCAACAAATTCGGCAATTCCGTATCGAGTCTTTCATCCAATTCGCTATATTTCTTGCTGTCTATTGCTTCGTTTGATTGTGGCTCCGTGAAATCTACTTTAGAATCATCACGTTCACTGTTCAAGTCTTTGCTATTTGTACTCGAAGGCGTTTCAACAAAAATTTTAACAGGTTCAACAATATTCGAAATTTCTTCGCTTAACAAATTAACGGGGTTCGGGATCACTTCTACATCGTCAGGCTTGGGCAACGACTGCTTAGAGCCCATCCTTTCCGAATCTTCCTGGATTGTCTCACCGGTATCGCTTTCTTTCGAATCTGCTGCTTCTACAGTAGACATATTTAACTGTAAACAAAAAAAAACGTTAACCCAACTAAATTTTATACAGTCGGTGACTACACCGACCGCAACACTGACCTTAAACTTAAGAATTTATTGTTCTACGCGAACGACATAATGAATTTTTTGTCAGAAGCAAATTTAGATTTGTTTATTAACACAGTAAACGAGCACACAATTACGTGCACTGATCGTGAAATGATTAACACGCTGATCTCGTACAAGGTCAAAAAATGAGAGTAAAGAGGGATTCGAATCCTAGCAAGCGATCCCTGTCTAAGGCAACACACATGGCCAAAATGGGCCGCAAACTGGTTCCTAATGCAAAATTTGTTGCTAGTGGTATTCAAGGTTATAATAAAAAATACTGGATTAGAATTATGTCAGACGTTTAATTTGACGTTAGAATTCTACCTTGTTGCGGCACCTGCTTGTATAGATTTATATAAGTTTTATAAAAATTGAAAACTTTCACCATCAATGGACTAGAAACTGAACTAAACTTATAAGTCGCGAATACAAAATCAAAAATGTTTAGCAAAATTTTGACGCTTAATTCGGTTAATTTGTTGGTGGACTGATGATTAATACACATCCTAGATCTCTGATTCCCGTTTTAATTCTTGCTCATTGGTAAGAATTTCCATATAATCGGGTTAATTTAATATCATTGAGTGGAGTTTCAAAAATAATTACATAGTTAGCAGTCTTTAATAATCCAATGTTAATGACTGAGTGCTCTGGTATTAGATCAACAGTCAGACACTCAAGAAAGGTTTCCCTTCACCAGGAGTTGGGTGTATAGTAAACAGAAATATTTCGCTACTACTATAAAATATTACTCCTTATGGGTTTAATCACAAACATGGAAAATATTAATGTTTTTGTTTATCTAGAATGATAAACATACTCAATTTTGTTTTGTATGATGTTGGATATGCAACCCAGCGTACTGAGTGAGTATTACCGGAATTCTGTAGTCACCTCGAGAAACCAATTCTCGACTATTCTCTCTTTAATAATTTATTGTTTTGAAACTGAAAGGCAGGTATATACGTGAGACGGTCAGTGGAAGTTCATCGTCACCAAAATGAGAATTAGTAGATACCTAAAATGAGAATTGCTTAATAATGAAGTGACCTTGTTTAARACATTTTTAAAATGTTGATTATTGTTTGTAATAGTTTAAAAATAATTTTATTGATTTGATAAAGCAGTGCGAATTTRAGAAAGTCAAATTGCTGAGACTGCTTGGCTATAGTTCACCTTGACTTCTTTTTGCACAAATTGTTAAAAATTGACGCAACGTAGCTGTACCTCTCTATGTGGGTACAGTTATTAATCTATTTTGTAATCAGCTGTGAGACACTATAATTTCATGGATTGCTTCAGGAAGAAGGTCGCTAAACTCTCCTACCAGATGAATACGTTGAGGAAAAATCTTAGTATAGTTATTTCTCATCGCATAGGTAATGTTAGGGTGACTCGCAGCCGGTTTTAATAAGGCGTTTTGTCGGGATGTTCTTGCTCTGTACAAAGCTTACCCACGCTGTCTTGCGCATAAACTTTGCAAAATACTAATGACCGCACAGTCTCAATATGGCACAGGATGAGACAGAACCGCGAATCGGAAATGGGCTGCATTGCTATACTGGGACCATTGTCCTGACTTTTGCAACAATTATAAGGATTATCACATTCTGCTAACTAAATTTCCTTATCGCTGCTGCAGATAAGATAATAAATTTTATTGGACAAGTAAGCAGCGACCCGATGCCCTGATTTAGGGCTACATCGCCCCGAGGTGAGACCCGATGTCAGGGGTCCTGCACCAATTAACTTTCGCACGAGAAAACGTAAATCTCAAACTTCAGACGGCGTTAATTCGCTGTTTACGAATAAATGGCCGTTCTATTTAACACCAGCAGATTAAAACGATCATGTCGGAACAATTTTATGCAGATTAGAGGGATTAAAGATCAACAGCTTGTGATAAAGTGAACCTCAAACAGCTTCCATGATTTTGGCAAAATGGGCTACGAGGATGCTTTCAGAACAGTACAGTGCCAGGTATTTGTTTTGTTATCAAAATTTATTTTCGTCCTGATCTAGAAACGTTGAAATTTTTGTAGCGGGAAGTGTTGTTTAAAAATTTAAGTTTAAATGACAAAGTGAGCAAATTATCACCGGATCAATACTTGTAAACTGAAGTCTGTTCATTGATTTTATATCAAAGTGTGATTTTGGCATCCAACATACAGCGACCGCTATTTATAACATCCAGCACTAATCAGAAACCGTCATTGCAATGCTTCTATATTAAAAGTAATAAATTACAAAAACGGAAACTATGCAGTGACCCAAAAAGGCGATTATTTTAAAATGAGTAATCATTCTTCTAACGTTCAATTTTAGAGAAAGTACGTTTATTCTGGAATTACTATTAAAGCAGGGTACCACCTGCCCACTGTRTTTCCATTATCCGGACTTCAATTCAATTCCGGAAGCGTTATATTGATCTTCCTAATCTTTAGTAATGACGTCATTGCTTCATATAGCACGACAACCTGAATTTAAAATAAACAATGAATAGTAATCATTTCGTGAATTAATAATCTCTCTCATAGTCGATAAAAGAACACTTCAATAAACCTCAAGACTCTTCAGCTGCTGCCAGACTCTAATTAACATTGAATACGCTTCTCACCAAATCCTGGATATTCTTTACAGCAAGAAACTAAATTAATGCATTTTAAAAATAACTTTTTGGTACTTATTTTGTACTTATTATTGCTAGCATTGCAAGATTTGTGTCGCTTGATTTATTAATAAACTAAGTTCAAAAAGTTCACAAGATTGGATAGTGTTAAGTCTGTTGATAACGCTGTTTTCAAGTTTCAGTCAGGTGTTTGATATTTCCTTCTGGATAAGTGGAACGGCAAAAAATGACTTCATAATTAAACTTGCGATTTGTAGAAAAATAGAATTGATAAACTTTATGATATCGTGAAAGTAACGTCAAAATTAAAATGGGAATTTGTTGTAGTGTAAATAATGTAACTTGTAACAATGTAACAATTTATTAAAAGTAAGCTGAAGATTTTCCTCACGAACCTATTACTCACTAATTCATACTTACTTGTGGGCACTCGGAACATTGGTTCAATTTATCTTTCTCATCCATATAAGACTGTGGCTTAGTAGCAGTGTCTGCAATGAATAAACAATTTGGTTAATTATAAGTCAATAATTTTAAATTAATTACATGTTACATAATTAATTTTGATTAGTTATTCCAAGCTTATTATAGCTTAAACTTTACAAATCTCATGTTTTACAACCCCTTGAAATTTACATAAGATAACTTGGCATGTTTGTGACTTTCTCCCACAAGTTACGAGTTTATTTCGGGCAATTTAAGACCATTTAATGGATTTATGTACCAGGTAGGTTCGGCACTCTGAAAAAGGCAAATATTGATAATAAATCACCACAATTTTTAAATAGGTGAAACAAAGGCGTAAAGTGTACCTACCTACTACAAGTTTTTTTTCAAATTGTAATGCAAAATCCATGTTCATTTTCCTGAGAAATTAATTACTGTTTAAATAAGTGACCACTTCTCGGTTGAATTTCTATTTTCTCATTTTTCTCTTTTTGTGTCTACAACAACCCGATCAAATGCTTAGATAATCACCAACAAAACAAGTTTTCCAATTGTGTGAAAATTTGTGTTTCGTTCAATAAATAATCTCATATCGTACCTCTTTACTTGACATTCAAATGCAGTTTAGTTTACATAAGCCTTATCTCATAAATTGCTACCTCTTTCAGGATTTTGATAGGAATGAATGTTTTTCCCCATTTAAGTAAATAAACATTGTGATTAAGCCTTACGCAGATATATTATTAGAAACTAAACTTGTCACTTTTTTATTTTTATTTAAAATATGTTCCAACAACTTTGTTTTAAAATGGTCATATTTTTGTGACTTGAAGAAAGTGGAAGTTTATTAATAATRCAAAAATCTTAGTGCTAGAGGCAAGAGAGTTACTTTCGTTCTTGTTATGTGATTTATTTGTTTATGAYCGAGTGACATTACAGAACTGTTATTTGACATTGCCGGATTTAAGCCTTGTGGCTGCGGAAAGCTCAGAAAGAATCAACATCCTTTTGTGACGTTTCATGACTGAAAGATTACCAAATTGTTTATCGGCGAGTGATAAGAGATAGCAAGTGCGGTTAATTGTTAACGGTCGAAGATTAATTCAAATGCATATTTAAGGGAACAAATTAAATTGGTCTTAACCGAGCTTTCGGTTAAGCTTCGAAATGCGAAGCAGTAAAAAGCGTGTGTATCACGAGACGAGGACATCCTGACATGGAAAAAAAAGCATTGGAGCGTTAAAGTTAATTAAAAAAGTTTTCTCATAAATAAAGCGAAAATAACAGTAATCGACACGTGAATCTATTCGATCACTTTAGCAACTTCCTCATTTTCAAGTTAAAAGTTTTAATAATTGTGCTCGAACGTATGATAAAATAAAAATGACGAGTTAGTGTTGTTTATGATAATCAAGTTGTTTGTGCTTTAACAACACGGATATAAGGCTGATATTCGTCCGACGAGAGAATGGTACACTACCTACTTTCAACTTGAACTAAAAAATAAAAGAGAGTTGCTAAAGTTACTGCAATGTAACAATAAATGGTTACACCATCGGCCATAAAAAGCGTTTTTAAATGCACCTGCCCTTAAAAAAAAGGGGGAAAAGTCACCTGTAGTTAACTGAAACGGTTTTCGCTGGTCGAATCTCTTGTTGCATCCCACAAACGAGTTACAAGTAACGCCGAGAGGAATTGTTTGAATTTCACAAGCACATGGGTCAATCACAATTTTGCAAAAACAACTATTTTTAGTWACTCGGAATGTGGCGGAGCTTTTTTGGGCACTCGCAGCGAGCTTTTCCCGGCGAAAAAGCTCAAACAAATTTTTTCAAATTATTTATTAACCACAAAATTTAATTTTTATTTTATCTGATAATTTATGGTTCATTGTACCGAGTTTTGTACAACTGCGAGCGGCAATTTATGCTTGTAAACTAACAGCGAGTGTACATTGGAGGAACGTATTTTGAAACGCATGCGCTGCTGGTTAACTTGAGCATATGACGTATCGTATACTATGGGTCGACAAGGAATTTTGTCGGTAAAGATGTGTTTGGGCCTAGAACGAAGCCCAAAGACTTGTCCAAAGGCTGGTCTACAGGGTTCAGAATTTCCGCCCTAGAGGTTCAACCAATCAAAATTGCTGAAATTATGAAAGTTCAATGGAAAATTACGTACGAGGCGACGATTGTGYTATTGCGTTGAAAACGGTAAACAGATTCATTTGGTTGGTAGGTATATCCGCGCTATAAATAGGTACAACATCGCTAACGTAACGCTTCCACGCACCCATCTCTAAARCCACTAACATCTCCCCCTTCACAACAATCTTAGCAACAGGAAAAAGACCCAACCAAGAACCAACGTTTTACAGAACAATTTCAAAAGTCGGACCTGTTTCGATCGCGAATCTTCATTTAATTGTTACTAAGGCGATGATCCCGATAGTCAAGGTCGAAAGCACAGGAGGAAGTCCTGTCCGCTTATTCCTATTCGTCCCAATTACCAAATCTCTAACGGAAGTCAGTCTTTATAATCTCCCCCAAATATTGCACCAGGTGCTCCCTGATATAATTGCGCAAAACTTCACGAAAGGTTACTATACATTAGGAATCAAATTCCTTCAGTTATCCTTCAAGAGGGAGAGATATAATGGAAGTTTATTACGTCATGTTTCCACATTACGCAAATTTACAGTAAGAAAATTCGATTGACCTTAAAATCATTTTTACTAGACTTCGTGGCTAGTCCCGTGACCTTATAACCTTTGATGGAAATACGTCGCCAAGTTAAGTTAATTTTAAAAATAATGCTCTGATTTGTCTACTAGAAATAATATTTTTATGGACAATAAGTAAAAATTCATAAAATTCATTATTTCGCCTATCATTGGTGTGAAAAAAAAAACATTTATAAGCCTTGAGCCATTGATAAAGAACATGGTGTAGGAAAGGAGCTTCCGGGTAATTATACTGAGAGGAAAAATGAGTGTCAATGTGAAAATTGCGTTTTAAGACAAAATAATGTTGCAGTATGTACTGTAATTTGCGTGGTTACTAGTTTAATACGAGTCAGAAATAAATTAACAGTTTACGGCCTTCATATTGTAACATTTTCGAAGTCGTAATTCATATTTTACTGATTCATTTTTTATTTATAACCCATGTCCTATGTGCTCGTAAAATTACCAGAAATGATTTTTGTTTTCAAATAAATTTAGTTGAAAAAGTATAATTTATTTTTCTTGAATTTATTTTTTGCAACGTGACATAAACCCCGCAACGCTGCAATTTAGTATGCAAGCTTGGTGATATTACAAACTCTAATATTGCCTGTGGCAAATAGTGATTGCCATCGGTAATGACGTGCCAGTTGATCGCAATTTTAAAGTTGACAAAAATGGAAGAGAATTTTATGGTATAGACGACATCGACCATTTATCGTACAAAAAATACAAAATAAATCTATCAAGCTGAAAAATAGGTAATTATTTTCCTGGAAGCCTCGAAATGAAGATGGAGGTCTACATCAACAATTATTTGTTAATAGATTTTCAACAATTTATAAAAAATACTTTTTATTAGAAATTCCCATAAAGTTTATCATTATAAAATATGTGTCTAATTCAACTTAAGGTCTACACAAGTGACATCACATAAATTGATATCGCTTTATGAAAAAGAATTTTTTTTACTAATTTGTACTTAAAAAATGAAGATTTTTGTTGTTCCGAAAATGCTATTAAAAAAATCCTGTTAAATATTTTTTTTACTTCTGTTCATAAACGTGTGTATGTATGTACAGTGCTTCAGAAGTAATGTCACAAACTCGGCTCTCAAGCGGGCACGTTCGACCGTTTTCAGATGGGATGGAGCCGATGGTCGGCAGTTGTCGGTTTTCCGGCATTGGGATGGGTCGATGGAGAGTTGGCGAAAATTGATAAATCGTTTGCTCAAATTATTAAGAATTTTGACTATGTGTAATCACTTATCGCATTTGACTTGTTTTGAAAGGAATAAAATAATATTTGAAACGTTTCTTTAAGATTAAAAATTGATCTGATTCAAGGTTTTGATGTCCAAAGTCACCTTTTCACAAAATAATTAATTTATTGTTTTATTTACTAATAAATTTATTAATTAATGTAGAAGTTAAGGGTTGTTTACTATTTATCAGTAGTAAAGGATTTTATGTGATTTTGGTGACATTTTTCACAGAAATCGAGTTGTGGCTTCATTTTCAATCAAATAAAATTTTTACAGCAATTCCTAATATTCAAGTCAACGATATGATAAGTGATAAAGTAGTAAAGCTGAAGATTCTCATTTTTTGATTTTAATCGATAGCTTTTGAAATAAGTAAAAACTTGTTAATTCTTTACATAAAGGCGGATTTAGGTAAAGAGTTGAAAATTAACACTGATTTGAATATATTCCAGGCAAAAATTTGTCGTTGWGGGTGTTATTTGCCTAAGACATTTTATGTTTATTATCGGGATTCTAATACACAGGACAAAAAGGTTTCAGGCAAATAACACCTTTAAGGACAAATTTTTGCCTGGGATAAACCCAACTCAGCGGCATAACTAGAGCCACCCTATAAATTTAAACCGCACTTGTTGACTTGGAATATTAGGAATTGCTGTAAAAATTTTATTTGATTGAAAATAAAGCCACAACTCGATTTCTGTGAAAAATGTGACCAAAATCACATAAAATCCTTTACTGTTGATAAATAGTAAACAACTCTTAACTTCTACATTAATTAATAAATTTATTAGTAAATAAAACACTAAAATAATTATTTTGTGAAATGGTGACTTTGGACATCAAAACCTTGAATCAGATCAATTTTTAATTTTAAAGAAACATTTCAAATATTATTTTATTCCTTTCAAAACAAGTCAAATGCGATAGATAAGTGATTACTTATAGACAAAATTCTTAATAATTTGAGCAAACGATTTATCAATTTTCGTCAACTCTCCATCGACCCATCCCAATGCCGGAAAACCGACAACTGCCGACCATCGGCTCCATCCCATCTGAAAACGGTCTTGAGAGCCGAGTTTGTGACATTACTTCTGAAGCACTGTGTACYCACCTCCCTTGTTTCACAATTTAGAAAATCTATGCTTGTAAAGAGCAATTAGTAGTAGTAGTAGTACATTATCTTAAAAAATAGCATTTTTCTGTTTGTCTTTTAAAATTCCTTGGTATTAAAAAACTCATTCAGTAAAACTCAAAGTTTAAAAGAAAAAAATTAATCGTACTTACAAGATCAATTAAGAATTAGTAACTATCTGCGATTCTGAGGGTGCCTTCAAATAAACACTCATTCTTACTTACCAATAATTTGACCAATTACAAAGCTTCACAAAAATAAAATTGATATCTAACGATMACTAAATAGGTTTGTTTATTGGATTTTCAAGCACTGTTTAGTGGGGTTTAGTTGTAAATAAATCCTATAATCAGTTTCGCTAATTAATTTCATAGTAAAAATTTTCTCTTTCAATTCCAAAATGGCCTTTAATATAATTACATAGGTACCTAGAGTTTGTTCCAAATCTGGTGGCGAACTGACATTGTCAAAAATTACTGAATTTTAATAAACATTTGTGTATTATTAAAAAAAAATATTGTACATATTGTACATAKGCGTCGAACCAAATAATACTCATATTTCAAAACCGCTGTTATTCTTTAAAAAAATGTAATAATATACTCATACTCATACACATACATAAGATGAAGAATGGTGAACACATTATTAAATTGTTAACGCATGAAAATAATTTTTAAGAATGACATCTCTAACAATCCTTGTTTTCAAAATCACTAAAGCAATAATCGCTTTCATCGCTACTATCGTTGGTTTTAATAAGTTCATTAACGATTACATCTAAATAATTTTTCCTACTTAAATATTGGTTTTTATTTGCGATCACCCGATTGCAAACTGTTGCAAAATGACAGCTAAGAAAATTTTAGAGAAAAAAAGTACTCCCAAGTGGGCGCATTCCAAGTGTCTTCTCTGTCACTGTTAGTTCGCCACCAGATGTGAAATAAGCTCTAATGAAAAAGCTCATATTATGGACAAAACTTTTTTCACACCCGATTTTATTTTCGCAGAAAAATTATGTATAATTATGAGTAGGTATATTTATTATTATTATATTTACAATTTGTTGTTAAATACCTGCATCGCAAAAAAATAATATCTAATTATTATTAAATTAGCTGAGAAAAATGAAAGAAAAGGTAAATTGTGTAAATCATTTATTGGATCAATTTTTTAAACAGATTAAACATTRTTAAATGGACAATTTCGCTTCAACAATAAAACAGAGGAAAAATAACTAAAACTGTCGTACAAACTGTTTTAGCAAGTGCTTATAATCAGTTTTTATTTGATAAAATACGTTAAGCTTTTTTACGTTTGCAAAAACTCTTTATTGACGTCTAACAGAACATGCGTCAC